TCCTTAAGACAATTAAAAGCAAATTGTCCGGCTGAGCGATCCCAGAGCAAGGAAGATGCTCCCCCAGACTATAATTCAAGGAGCTGAATGGCCCTCAAAAACTGAGAGCAGAAAGGAAAAAAACAACAGATGATGAGGCAAATGATGGAACAGATGTGAGCGCTTTTGTTGGGAAGACTTGGAGGCTAGCGGGATGGCGATAGGCTAATTTGAGGCGAATAATGCCAGCTTCCTTTCATATGCAGAACAGCACTTTGATCCCATGTGGATGAAAGTGCTGAAAAGTGGAGAGGATGGCAGGGGGTCTTTTGTCTTTGACAAAAAAGGCATCTGCCAGGCTCTAACCCTCTTTTTCCCCACCCCCTTAGCCTAGCAGGCCACTCCAACAATGCTAGCAAAGGGGACAAGTGTCTCCTGACAGCTGAAGAAATCTCTAGGAGGAGAACGAGTTTTGCAGCAACATGTATACTGGAGAGCTTAATCGATTTTTTCCACAGTACAAAAAGGGAGAGGGTTAGGGGAAGACAGAGAGATCACAGTGAAAATGGGAGGTGGGAGATAAAAAATCCCTTTCTAATAAACTTGTTACTTTTGTTCTCTGAATGCTTCTTTTCAGGAGATGCTTTGATGCTAGTGTGAATACACTTAATGGAGCAGAGTAGGATAGAGTTGCTGGAGGGGGGTGTGTGAAGTAAGGAATAATAGTTTTGCAAGGAGGGTGAATATGGAGCAATTTCTGTGGATTCCAACACAGGAAAGATCTTGGAAGTAATGAAACAGTGCAATGCCAGAGATACCATCAAGACAGATGCGTACCTTCTGTACCACCTCTGGAGGAGCTCAGCTTAGCACAAATCCTTGGGTTTGATTTCAAAGCAAAACTGAAAAATTCTTTTCAACGTTTCCTATTGAAAGGTTTTCTGTTTTCTTAACTCTTTGGAATTACTAGAAAGGAAAGGACAGCAAGAGCGAATGGGGAGCTAGGAAGGCAAGCAGTATTTGTGCCAAGCAAATATAGCAGTTTTAAGACCACCTGCTGATCTACTCCCTGCTTTTTGTGCTCTGTTGACTTTCTTCAGCTTTTCACATCTGGTAAACAAGACTGGGGTCTGATTTGCAGAGTTTGGTGGCTGTGGTCTTCCTTAAGTGTCACTTTGCACCTAGTCTAATGTTTTCTTTGAGATACAATGGTGGATAAGAGTTATCAACTTCTAAGCAAGACCCATCTCAGTAAATTAAATCCTTTAAGAACAGTAGGCTCAGAATATTCCTTCTCTTGAGATCCTGACAGTGTTTATCCATTACTATTTACTGAAGATAACCTTCTCAGCAGGGCAACACCTGGTACTGCAAATAGGTTCTCCCTCTCTACCCCACACACTTCCTCTTTCTGCTGAGAGATTTCAGTTCTCTCAAGAAGGTATGAGTGATACAGAAATTGAGAGGAACTACCACATTCTTTTGAGAGGCTATACACTCATATTGATGCCAAATTGTAATCCTAGGTAGTTGTTCAGTAGGTGTGCCATGATTCCCCTCCAGCAGATGCCATCATTTTGTTCAGACCAGTTGATGTGGAGAGTATTTTAGACAATAGCAATTCCTGTACTGTAATTGTGCAAACCCTGATGCATGAGTTGCTGTAACTTGTTAGAGAAGACGTGAACTGCTGCTGCTGTCCTCCAAGATGCTCAGACCACCTCAGTCCCTCACAGCATCAAGGTGAAAGTCCTCTCTCTGGGTGAGCTTTGGGTGGGTCTTGTGTGACTTCTCTCTCAGGTGCTATGTACAGTGACAGGTCTAGATCCAAATGGCTAAAGATGTTGCTCATATGGAAGTCTGTCCTGGCAGGGAACAGCCCTCTGTAGTCCTCCATGCCAAAGGAAAACAGCCCAAGCAGTGCCACACAAACCCCTGACTGGGCCACAGAGTACATGGCAGGCTGCTAGGTGCTCTATCCCCAGGCAGTCAGGGTTAGGGTGAGACGTGGGAGTCTTGGGCAGTGCGTTGGGACACTTTGTTTGTTCTTTGAGGTAAAACACAAACCTCCTCATTGTGAAAGGTTTTTTGTGCTTCTCCATCTGGGCAGTCAAGTCCTTCAGATGTTGCCTTCCTGAAATTCCTTCACATGCCCAGTATCAACTCTCACACCTTCACACCAGAACAATGTACTCTTAGCAAAGACCATAGAACTGCCAAAACTGCCTTACCAGAACAGTTTTGTGTCATGGCATCAGGAAGGTTAGAGATGTGGAGGAAGAGGGGGAGAGTTGCCTCTATTCCTCTAAAATGTGTGGTAATCCTTCATAACTACAAGTTGTCATTGCAGTTTAAACTGTGCTCTTGGGACAGGTTTCTATAGCTGTTTGCTGTTTACTGTGTGCTACTTTCATAGGGCCAGTGGGTGTACATAAGGAAGGAAGAGCCTGTGTGGTTTGACTTGGATGCTACAGTCTAGGCCAGGTCTGTTTGGAGAAGAGACTGAATCTATTTCACGTGAAGGACACTGCAAGGGAGGAGGGAAGAGGTGTGTGGAGCAGAGGGTAGCATGCAGAGCAAGTGACAGCAGGAGTGCAGGCTGTGAATGTACAGCTGAGAGAGGGAGATTTGCTTTGTTCTCACGTCTCACTCAGCAGGCTGGTGTTTTTTCCACAGAAGCCAGTTACCCTCTGCTGATTTGTGTTTGGATGGAAATCAAGCAGTAAAGATTGCAAAGCCTCTTTGATGTGCTTACTCTACATTGAGGCAGAGCTACCTGACCAGCGCAGGAGAGTGCCGCATCCCCTGCCTGTTCAGTGGACAGGGACTGTCTGGTCATTATTTCAGAGGCTGCAAAGTCTAGAAAGGCATATATTGCTCTAATGGTAAATTGTCCAAGTGAATGATGCTATGGTAGTCAAATAGCTTGCAAAATAAGCCACTCCCATGGAAGTGCTTTTGGCTGGTCTGATTGTACATACAAGATTTTCCTGGCATGACCTAACAGTCCTGGCTATAGAAATCCCACATTTTAAGTGTGGATTTGGCTTGTCTCTCAGTGCTTGTCTCTCAGTGCGTCTTGTCTGGTCATTAACATCCATTTAGGACTTCTCTGTATGAGAAGTGAAGCCAAACAAATGGAAAACAATGGCTTTAGAGTGCAGTAAACCCCAGCCTGCATGCAAACTTTTGTTCAGACATAAAGTGGTTTAAATTTTTTTTTTGTTTAATTTACTTTCAAATTAAACAGAGGTCCGTTGCAAGATGGACACTGCTTAGTTTGATGTTACTTTTCTGAGTGCCTGCCTGGAGGTATTACTTTAATTGACTGCAGTTTATACAAACGAGGTGAATTCTTTCCTCTTTTAAAAACATGAGATGGAAGTGAATATTGCTATTTATGAACACCCTTCCAGGACTAATGTTGAGTTATGTGCTTTCATATTAGGTTAAATATGCAGTGATTTGGATCCAAACAGGCAGTTCTAGCTATAGTGGGTACAGCATGATTTCAAGTCTGGTGGAACTTACACGTTTCTGTAGGACATTTTGTTGTGCTTGGGGGAGGGAAATTCCACTTGTTTGTTTCCACATCTGCTCTGTAATCCCAAACTTCAGTTCACATAATCTCAGTACATTAAGGGTATACTTACTCATGTGTGAATTTCATGGTGTTTGTGAATACTTTCAGTTCCAGAGTGTTTTTGGTGGTGTTTGAGGCAAATATCCAGAAGTAGTTAGTTACAAAGAGAGTAACCAGAGCTTAGAAAATAAACCTCCCAAGAATAATTTTTGAAAAACTTCAAAGCAGTATCTCTGAACTTACTTTCTTTAAAAATAAAAATAAGAAGCCAGTAGGTAGTACAAATGTCTAGTTTTGGTGTGCAAACGAGCAGTGGCTTGAGTAAGTGCTGTGCTCAGGAGAGATGGTAGTGTTTTTCTTGCCAGGTGCTGACAGAGGACTGCTCCCTGTGCTGATGCCTATCTAGCTCCATGCCCCATCAAGGGTGCTCACTGCCATCCCATGTTCAGCCTGGGGAGTTTCTACCCCAAGTGTTTCCTTTCCAGGGCTCATTAGCTGCCGGGTGCAGCAGCTGGAGCAGCTAGCATAAGGTACAGAGGTTCTGAGTCATCTGTTTAGCTCCAGAGGCACCTGTCGAGTGTTGCTTCAAAGTGCTCTCTTGTTTCTTTCAAGTGGCAGTCATCCTTGTGGGGTGTGCACTGCCCCGGCTAGGGGCAGCTGCAGCTCTCCCTGGGTCAGGCCCTGAGGCCACCACCTTGGGAGAGCTGTGCTGTGCTGGAGGTGGAGAGGCAGCCACATCTGGAGAACACCTCTGCTGACCTTTCCCTTCCTGGTCACGGGAGAGGGTCCCTGGGGATAGGAGCTGTGGCAGTCATGATAGTCTGCCTTAAGGCAAAGAGAATGGGAGTGTTTGCACTCCCAGGGGAAGGCTGAGGAGAAGAGTGAATGCTGGGCTGCTGCAGAGAGAGTGACTACCTCTGTCCTGAGCAGCCATTGCGCTTCCCTGGCCTCATCCAGAGAGCCATCCCACCTGAAATAGGTGTGGTGTGTGGGAGAAGGAGACACAAAATAGGAACAATAGCCCATGACTCTTCTTGCAGATAAGTAAGGAAGGACAAACAAGGAGAAGCTATGCTTAATTTAGGTAGGTGGCTGAGGAGTTTAGGTGGGAGGAGCATGGTCAGGCAAACTGTAATCTAGGAGATCAAGATTGCCCCTGCTTCAGCCTGCCCCTTTGTATCTTCTGTACTAATCACATCATGGGCAAAACCCCCTGGAGTGTGAGGCAGCTCCCTCTGAGCAGGCCCGTGTGACCCAAGATGTGAGTACCTGTGGACCCAGAGGAAGTGTGGGTTGGCGATTTGAGAACTGGCACACTTGGAGCAGGAGCAGCTTCAGAGAGCCCTGGTCAGGTGGCTGTGTGTCTGTGACCTTCTCACAGGACGAGACAAGAACTCACCAGGAACTCTGTCTTTTCCTCCTTCTCCTCCTCCCTCAGGTGGTCTTTGCTTTGAATCAGACTCTCTTGCAGCAGGAGAGCCTCCGAGCAGGCAGTTTCCAGATCCCCTATACGACAGAAGACCTTATCAAGCATTACAACTGTGGGGACCTCAGCTCCATCATCTTCAACCATGACACTTCTCAAGTGAGTCTTGCCACCGCAGCCCTTCCACTATGCATATGTCCCCGGAGTGCTAACCCCTGTCTCACTTGTGCTTGTCTCTCCTCAGGCAGGCCCTTTGCAGGTGAGGGCCAAGGGCATGTTGCTGTCTCCCTGGCGCATCTGCTTGCCTGCACCTCCTATTCCAGGAATCCGCACCACCTCAACCCCTGTCTTGCTGTACACAAGCAGTGAAGGTGCACATGGCTTTCCCTTTCGGATGAGTGTCATGTTTGCTTTAGCATCAAAGCTCTATGAGTTAATCCTTTATTTTCTTAAGGATCCCATGGTATTACGCTCGCTTAGGTATGAGCAAACTTAATGCCAACAGAGAGTAACAGCAGGCTCTTTTGTGAAAATAGGGATAGAAATGCACTCATGACTTGGATGCTTGTGTAAGACTGGACAAGTTGCAAATTTTTTATGTCCCCTATCAGCATAATTGTGTAGTGTGGGCAAGGCCTAAAGGGTAGAAATGGAGCGAAACAAAGAAAAGATAGATTTAGACTGAATGAAGTGAAGAGAAAGAGACCTTCTGAGACCTCAAAGACTTGGATTTATGGAGATGGTTTTATAAGCAGCACAGTGGAATGCAACACTCTGATCTTTAGACCACGAGAAAATTCCCAGCCAGGACCAATTTGGCATGTTTGGGCTGTTAGATTGGCTAACCTCAGGCCTCTCTGTTCTTGCCTGTGAGATACTGCCTGGCAATTCGTGCATGTCAATGAAAACACAGGCACTATCATTACAGTATTGAACAAGTGGATGTTGATACCTGGGCTTTCCTGGCTGAATAACCATTTTCCTATGAGCTTTGGATACACATGGTGCAGTACTGCAGAGCCAAACTAACCTTGCTTTTCTGGTACAGAGCTTTGCACGTGTGTTGCTGCCTTCCTTCTGCCTGCAGGTGCAGCCAACCTGGTCATTAACACTGTCTAGGTTTTACACAGTGCACTTCATTCATAGATTTTCAAGGATCTCTCAAAGGAGGCCAGCATTGCAAGAGGATACAGATGCTTCATCACTATTCTGCAGAGATGTTACAGACCGCAGACAGCTGGCATTGTGTCTAGGTCCTTGGAGAGAACAACTCTTGCTGAGACATGCATGTCTCTGAGGGAGCAATTGTCCTTAACATGAGATGCTCCACTTCAGGGCACTCTCCCTCACAGTAGAGTTGAGTACTAATAGTTTGCAACACTGTCAGTTTATGTTTTAAGCAGAACTTCTCAGTAAATTATATTTGACCCCATGCTTGCCTAATAGGTGACCTACTGTAGGCTAAGAACCCTTTGGATAGAGTCAGTAATAGTCTCTGAGTGGCTCCAAAGTCTCTTCATCTGCTGCAGCCTTGCAAGGGAAAGCATCTGGCTTATTAATGATCCTACTGACCAGAAACCATTGTGTCCAGACCCTTTTGTTAGCAATCCCCATAACTGCAGTGCCTAAAGCTACTTGTCAAGAAGGCAGTATGGCTGCAACTGCAGACTTATGCTTCCCTCCACTGCCCAGAGGTCAAGGTAGTGTGCAGCCACAGCTGTTCTGGGGCCCCAGCAGAGGAAGCCAGTATTTTAAAAGATGCCTTGAGGACAGAGGAACTAGAGTTGGTAAAGCTTTCTTTTTCCTGAAAAAATCTGGCCCTCTTTCTTTTGAAAAGTTTGTGGATGTTTTTTTTAAACTAGTTCAAATTCCACAGTTATTCTTTGGAAGCCTGAGGGCTCTGATAGCAGTCAAATTCTCTCAGAAGAGTGTAATTATTATTAAAGTTATGTCATACCTATGGCAATTTAAGGAAGAGGTATGTAGCTAAAGATAGCCAGGAGCAAATATTTACTTTCTTCAGCCAAGCAATCAGGATTTAGGATCTACAGTGTGGCAAACTGAGAATATTTGTTGACTTAGAATTTTTAAAAAAAAATCTGTCTGGATGGCTTACGAAATGATACATTGAGAGAAATGAAGTGCCATGCATTTTTAGAAGTTTGCTAAGTTTTTTTTTTAGCTTGCTTTGGGTTTTGTCTTACTGACTGTGCCTTGATGGACAAGGCAATTGCCACATTCAGTGTGAAGCAAAGTGCCTGCACATGATAGCTGCCTGTGAAATAAATTCACCTTTCATGAAGACTTCTTTTATCTACCTTAGGTCCCAAATTTCATTAATGCTACGCTTCCAGCCCATGAACGCATTACTGCCCAAGAAATAGACAGCTACTTCCGTCAGGAGCTCATCTACAAGCGAAACGAGCGAATGGGCAGGAGGGTGAAGGACCTGCTGGAAGAGCACCCAGATAAGAGCTTCTTCTTTGCATTTGGAGCTGGTATGTGATTGAGGTGCCATTCAACCTAGGCATGATCTTCCCATGTCTGTTAGAATTTGTAAAAACTACAAATGCTTGCCTCAGTTTAAAGAAGTGTCAGTACCTTTACCATGGTGGACCCAGAACACACCTTTTCTCTGGTAGCTGTAGCCCAGTAGAAAATCCTTTTCAGTGTAGGAAACTGTTTTTCTTCAGTATGCAAAAAGGTCATAGTGTATGCACTTCTATATCTGTTCATTACAGACATATTTGTTACATGCATAGGCAAAGATACCAAATCAGCTACAGCACATACACAAAAGGTGCAGCTCATAGACATATGTGTTTGTGGTCTGGACAGCCAAGACAGAAGGATAGGAGAAACAGGGAGCCGAGATGAAAGGCACCAAGTCAGAGGTTGTAACAGTGCTTGAATTACCTTTAAAGAATATGTTCAGAAGAATAACGTGCCTAATTGTGTCAATCTAAGAGGCTCAATAAATGCAAGGGGAGAGGCAAGGCACAGTCTCAACTTTTCCTCCTGCAGCTCCTTACTTACCTGCTTCCACATCTACAAGGAAGTTGTGTCTGCCACTATCTTGGAGCAGCGCATTTGTCCCAGTTGGAG